GATTGTGAATATTTTTCTCCAGTTAGTGTTTGCCTTTTCATTTTATAATTCTTTTTATGCAAAAGTTTAAAATTGTGTATTCATATGATTCAAATATATCAGTCTTTCCTTTTAAAACAGTTTATTGATGAGCTTTGTGTATGTCCAATTTATATACCATAAAATTCATCTTTTCAAATTGTTTTCAATTCGTTAATTTTTGGTAAATTTGCAGAGTTGTGCAACCATCACCACAATAATTTTAGAACATTTCCAGCATCCCAGAAAGACCCTTCATGCCTCTTTGCAGTCAGTCTTCTCTCCCATCCACTGCCCAGACATTCACTAATCTACTTTCTATCTGTCTTAAAGCTTTTATTCTGTTGTTCTTATAACGAAATCTTGAGCACTTATATTTAAGCTAAGTGCCGGGGATATAATGGAGAATAAAATTGCTACCATCTCCTTCTTCTAGGAGATTTCAGTCTTGTAGGAGAGATTATTAAACAAAAATAGTTCAAATGAATATATAGTTAGAGATTGATGAGTGCTATGAAAGATAAGTAATGTGTGTGATGAATAATAATGGGGGATACCTATTTGAGATCCGAAATTCAGGGAAGGTTTCTCTGAGAAAAGTGACCTGGAGGATGAAAAGGACCTGCCAGTAGAGAGTGGGGGAAAGAGCCTGGCTTGAAGGGGGTGAGGTGCTGGGTCCTAGAGGCCTGTAGGAAAAGAAGCAGATGTGGTCGGAGGGCAAAGGGACATGAGATATCAGTGAAAAAAATTTTGTTTTTAATACTTTCCCATGTCATTATTATTGTTTCATTTTTAGAGTGCTGCTTTCATTTATTTTTTTTAAATTTTATTTGTTTTTTTATTGAGGTCATATTGGCTTATAACATTGTGTAAATTTCACGTTTACATTATTATATTTCAGCTTCTGTGTAGTCTGCATCCTGTTCACCACAAGTAGTCTAGTTTTTATCTGTCACCATACATGTGTGCCCCCTTATCCCTTTCACCCTCCTCCCACACTCTCCTCCTCTGGCAACCACTGTTCTCCTTGTCTATGTGTTTGTTTATCTTCCACATATGAGTGAGATGATACAGTATTTGTCATTCTCTGACTTACTTCGCTTGGTATAATACCCTCAAGGTCCATCCATGTTGTCACAAATGGCATGATTTTCTCTTTTTTTTGTGGCTGACTAGTATTCCATTGTATATATGTACACCACATCTTCTTTATCCATTCATCCAGTGACAGGCACTTGGGTTGCTTCCACATCTTGGCTGTTGTGAATAATGTCGCAATGTACAAAGGGACGCATAAATCTCTTTGAACTGTTAATTTCACATCCTTCAGATTACTGCCCAGTAGTGGGATAGCTGGATCATGTGGTATTTCTATTGTTAATTTTTTGAGAAGTCTCCATACTACTTTCCATAGTGGCTGCACCAGTTTACATTCCCAGCAGCAATGTTCCCTTTTCTCCACATCCTCTCCAACACTTGTTATTTCTTCTTTTCTTGATCATAACCATTCTGACGGGCGTGAGGTGATATCTCGTTGTTTTGATTTGCATTTCCCTGATAATTAGTGATGTTGAACGTCTTTAATTCTTTGGCAATTAACCCCTTATTGGATATGTCATCTGCAAACATTTTTCTCCCACTTGAGGGTTATCTTCTCATACAATGCTGTTTTTAATGTCAGAGTGTTTACATGTGATACTCAAATGGTTATGTGAGTTCCCAGGTCCTAAGAGTTCTGTGTCACTGTGTTAGGTATATCTTCGAGTCTCCAGCCCCACACGTGTGGAGCAATAACAGCAGAATGGCATGTGTATGTATATATGTGTGTATTTTTTTTCCAGTCCGCTTCCTCTCTCACTCCTCGAGGGAGTGTGTTCCCAAACAAAGTTCTTAGAGGTTATCTTATTGTTCTTTAAGATTTTATACTAAGGATTATTTGAAGAACACTGGAATTGTTAAGAAGGTATAAAGACATTCCCTTCTTAAGCACTGCTGCTAGTTAGATATGCTTCAAGTATACTGAGGCCTCATGGAGCTCAGGGAATAGCCAGTTTAGTGACAACATTAGAGTTTGCTCATGGATCCAGAATGCTCTTTCTCTTGCTTACTAGATTACGTTGCTCTCTTCATGAGCTATGTAAGCAGGAAGTATGATGTTTCTGTTTCTGTTTATACATGCCATTTATACATGCCATTTATTTATTATTTGTTTATACATGCCATTTATACATGCCATCCCCACTTCATCCTCATTCTTTCCATCGTCAGCCTACTCTCATATGACTCTCATTCTCACCACTTTGCTGAAATTGCTCTTGTCATTGTCATCAGTGATTTCCGTGCTGCCAGGTCTAGTGGGTAATTTCTGTCCTCATGTCTCTCGGCCTCTCAGGGGCAGCTGACATAGTTGACTACTCTATCCTTCTTGCAACACTCCTGTCTTTTGGCTTCTGCAGTAATACTCTCCTGGTTTTCTACCTGGTCTCCTTGGCTGAGCCTTCCTCTGTGACTCAGAAAGTGGCTTTGGGCTGCCTTCTGTATTCGTGCTGTTTCCCTAGGAGATCTCATTTCCAGGTCTTTAAAAATCAGCTGTGTACTGACAATTCCCACCTTGGTTTCCCTAGCCCCACTTTTCCCTCTGAGCTCTAGGTCTGTATATCCACTTGCCCCCTGGCTATTCCCGCCTGAAGATTTCATGGGCATCTTAATGACTACAGCTTTGAAATGGAGCCCCTCCTTCCTTCTTATTCTTCCCCTACCATTCCTGTTTTATCCTAGTCTTCCTTGTTTAAAAAAATTGTAAATTGTTTATTCAGTTATTAAATACAGAAATCTGGAAGTCGTGTATAACTTCCTTCCTTTCTTCATCCCTCACATCCAATCCATAAGTGCATCCTTTTGCTCTGCCTATAAAATATGAATTTTATCTGGCCGCTTATCTCTGTCTCTAACTCAGACCGTCATTACTTTTCTTCTGGACAGTTGTAATAGCACCTAATAGGATTCTTCACTTTTACATTTGCCTCTTTCCGACCCATGCCCAATATTTTAACTGAATGATTTTTATAAAATGTAAATCAAATGACTCGTCTCCCCTTGAAGTGCTCCAATGCACCTAGAGTGAGATCTGGAGTCCTTTCTTTGACCTCCCAGGCTCAGTGTGATGCAGCCTCTGCCTTCCTCTTCATCCTCATCGCATTCACTCTGCCTTTAGCTCTCTGCTCTAGTAAAACTGGCCTTCTTTTGTCTCTAGAGTAGTCTGGTCTCCACCCTCAGTGCCTTTGTAATTTTTTGGTCCCTCTTCCTGGGAAGCTCTTTCCCTAGCTCGTCCACAGCTGGTGCCTTCTTCTGAAGATCTCAGTGTAAATGCCAGCTCCTTAGAGTCTTTCCTTCTCTACTGACAGGTTTCCTATTGGTTTGTTTCTGTCCTAGTACTTAACACGATTTGGGATTGCTTCTCCATATTTATTTACCTGATTTGGTATAAAGCTCTGTGAGGGCAGGAAGCTTATCTCTGTCTAGTGTTTGATAGGTGCTAGACATATGTTGAGTGAAAAAAAATGTGTAGAAGAATAAATCGTCTTGCCCTGTTTATCATATAAATGGTAATTATTGAATGAAGATATAGAAGGAATGTGTGTCAGAAATGGTGGGCAACACGGTGGCGCAGTGGTTAAGTGTGCACGTTCTGCTTTGGCGGCCTGGGGTTTGCTGATTCGGATCCCAGGTACGGACATGGCACCACCTGGCATGCCATGCTGTGGCAGGTGTCCCACATATAAAGTAGAGGAAGATGGGCACGGATGTTAGCTCAGGGCCAGTCTTCCTCAACAAAAAGGGGAGGATTGGCAGTAGATGTTAGCTCAGGGCTAACTTCCTCAAAAAAAAAAAAAATGGTGGGCAACACAATGCTAAGAAGGAACCGGTCAGATTAAACTTTATAGAGGTAAATGTAAAATCCTGTGCTTTGGTTAAAAAATGTCAGTTTCATATAGAATCAGGGAACTCTCGCTTGACACTCCTTTGTATGTGCAGCCCTAGGAGCTAGAAGGGTAGCTGAGAAGATAATGCAGTCCTAAACCACATCAATAAATGCATGTACTTCTGCTTTAGAGGAGGGAATTATCTTATAGTACTCTCCTCCAGTGACACCAGTAGAATTATTCCAACTTTCTGAATTGCAGTGGAATACTCATTCATTCATTCAGCATTTACCGAGTACATTCTGGGCACTGGTATTATAGTTGTGAACAAAATTGTCATGGCTCTTGTGTTCACAGGACTTAGTGTGTAAGTCCCAGAAAGAACTCATTTCTCTTTTAGTGACAGTGTTGAAGCAGAAACTAGCTTGTCATTTATTGAGAGGCAGTGCAATCTCGATATTAAGAACTCATGCTCCTGGAGCCCGCCTCTGGAGCCCAGTGGCTTCGAATTCCAGCTCCAGTGTTTATCAGCTGTGTGGCTTTGGGCCCATTTTGAAAATTCTCTGTGCTTCAGTGTTCTCCTCTATAGACGGGAGATCCTAATAGTGCTACTACCTAAAGTTGTGAGAAGTAAGTGAGTTAATGTGTATAAATCGTTTAGAATAGTACACTGCGCTTAGTAAGCACTTCAAACTAGGTGTTAAGCAGTTAATTAATAAAATTGTGTTTTCTGGGAGGGCAAAGGCTGGAAGACAGACTGAGGGTGGGGACAGGTGGTCATACAGGGAGGCTGGTAGATCAAAGCCCAGATTATTATGACTGTTTTGTTTACATTAAAGAGTTTTAATTGTTTGAGCTTGTGCTTGAAAACCTTGGCTGGGGAGTTGATGACGCTTGTTTTATTTAGTCTTCTGTTTTAGGCCAGAGAGATAAGAATCCTGTTTGGAAATACTACCTGATGGTTTTTTCTTTTCTTAGTGCTTGCAAAGAAACACACTTTTGGAAAGAATAAAATTATAGCTATTCATAACCACCTCTTTTTGCTTTGTTTTGTTTTAGTGGCAGCTGAAATATCCTAAGCTGATTCTCCGAGAAGCCGGCAGCGTCCCCGAGGAGCTCCACAAGGAGGTTCAGGAAGCCTTTTTCGCACTGCACAAGCACGGTTGCTTATTTCGGGACCTGGTTAGGATCCAAGGCAAAGATCTGCTCACTCCAGTGTCTCGCATCCTCATTGGTAACCCCGGCTGCACCTACAAGTACCTGAACACCAGGCTCTTCACGGTGCCCTGGCCAGTGAAGGGTTCTAATGCCAAATACAACGAGGCTGAAATAGCTGCTGCTTGTCAGAGCTTCCTCAAGCTCAATGACTACCTGCAGACAGAGACCATCCAGGCTTTGGAAGAACTCGCTGCCAAAGACAAAGCTAATATCGATGCCGTGCCAGTGTGCATAGGGCCAGATTTCCCCAGGCTTGGTATGGGGTCATCCTTTGATGGACAAGATGAAATGGACATTAAGAACAGAGCAGCATACAACGTAACTTTGTTGAATTTCATGGATCCCCAGAAAATGCCATACCTGAAAGAGGAGCCTTACTTTGGCATGGGGAAAATGGCGGTGAGCTGGCATCACGATGAAAATCTGGTGGAAAGGTCAGCGGTGGCAGTGTACAGTTATAGCTGTGAAGGTACCGTCTGCTCTGTGAAGAGGCAGCCCTGAACGTAGCATCACCGGAGCCGTGTAGGCTCTGGAGACTTACGTGCTTGTGTGTGTGTTTGTGTATTTGTGTGTATCTACATAGGTATCATGTGGTATCTAAACAGGTATCATGTTTTAGGCTTGCACACCCGTATCTCTGCAGAATATACCTCTTTCTCATCCAGCTGTGCTATCTAGCTCTTTGTTAGATTGTACTCAGATAGAATGTTTTCGTGTTTAAGCACTACTGTCGTTTTGTCTTTCCCATGCCCAGGAGAGCAGCATCTTGGTTTCATACAGCCAACTGCCTTTCTCTAAAGCTCTGAGTAGATCGTACAGTTGCTATAATTAACTTGCTGATAAAGGGCCAGGAAAGCAAAAACCTGTCAAATCTTTCCAGGTTCCCACAGGTGCGCATTTCCAGCCTTGCCAAAATATTTCATTATGGTTGATATCGCTGTCTTGATGGGAGTGATTTGTCAAATATGGATTTATTCTCGGCCTCATACAGTTTTGACTACTGTCCTTCCTTGCCAGAAGCAGTTGAAGTGGGTTTTGTAAGCAGACAGTTCTCTATTTTCAGGAAACCCTCCAGCTCCCTGCCCCGCCCCCCTACCCCCCATCAGATCTGCAGTTTGAGACCTAATAGGAATGCTGTGGCAACCTCATTCTTGCAGTTTCTGAAATCTGGTCCCCTTGGAACAGAGATCATAGACTATCTTTTTTGTGGTCTGCCAGCTTTTCCTTCTTTTTTCTTCAGTTTCTGTGTGTTTAGGACAGAACAGGATTCTTTTTCAGAACAGGATTATAAAAAATGTAGTTGAACATCTTGAGGGCAGTGTGACCATTGCTGACTTTCTTCTTTGCCTGATAATTTGATAAAGAAATACAAGACAAAGTGTTAGCTCTTTCACCTCTTTAACCCTTCTACTTGTTTATGAAAGATGCGTTGGGAACCACAGTTCTAGATAGCCCATCAGGAAATGATCTGGAACTTTTAAGGGTCATTATTTTCTGAAGACTCTACTTTTTTAATGGGATTTTGTTGTGGTGTTGTTTTTTATTTAAACGTTTTATTAAACTAAAACGACTGTTTTGGAAAAGGGATTTTAATAAGAAATTTTCTTGGTTCTCTTAAATTTCTTACCATTTCCCCATCTCACAAATTTCCTCAGGATAGGTAAAATATTTCCTAACTTTACCTTATGTCTTCAGCCCAAAACAAGGAGCTAGTTGGGTGGTTGGAAATGTCACTGGTTTCCCTGGCATCTCAAATAATGATGCTGACCTAAGAAAATTGCTTGAAGGGGATTTGATGCTGTGCTAATGGGAAGAACCAAGATCCTCTGATCTTGAATAAGGCCTTGCCAGGGACTAAGAACTGTCACATCCAAGAACTCTGATGTGAGCGAACAGTGGAGTTTGTTAGTTTCTTTCTTAAGGAGGCATCTCTCTGAAACTGAGGCAGTGGTATGTGATAGCTCAGACTTCTACAAAGATGTCTTTGTGCGCCCTCAGCCCTACAGTTTAATAGTCCTATTGTACTTCCAGAGCGTGGGTGATTGAGTCGTTTTTGAAATCTAGAATATCGTTTAGAAAGGAATTTAATTTTTTTTTGAGGAAGATTAGCCTGAGCTAACTGCTGCCAATCCTCCTCTTTTCGCTGAGGAAGACTGGCCCTGAGCTAACATCTGTGCCCATCTTCCTCTACTTTATATGTGGGACGCCTACCACAGTATGGTGTGCCAAGCGGTGCCATGTCCGCACCCGGGATCTGAACCGGCGAACCCCAGGCCGCCACAGTGGAACATGCGCACTTAACCACTGCGCCACTGGCCCGGCCCCTAAATTTTTAATTAGTAGTTTGTGTGGTTGACAGTAGTTTAGACTGATAACACAGACAAATATATGTAAATATATAAAGGTTCATCCTTCCAGTTATCACCTAGGGGAGGGAAGTGCAGACTTTGAATCTGTGCGGTGTAATTCCTTTGTTCTCTTAGCCCCTGAGATTCCCGGAACTCTGTCTAATAATGACAGCAGTACTGAAAGCTCTCATTTCTTGAGCACCTACTATGGGCCAGGCAGTGGTATAAGCATTACATGTATTCATTTTATTTTTCCAACAACTCTATGAATGAAGTAGTACTCTTATCTTCACTTTACCGATGAGTAAACTGAGGCACAGAAGGATGATTAACTTTTCCAAGGTCATACAATGATTAATTAGCAAAGCTAAGATTTGAACCTAGACATTCTGGCTTCAGAGTCCCAACAGCTAAGGCTAAATGCCTTATGAGCAGGTATCTCCTATCCCTGCAGTTTGAGTTTTTGAAATGTCTGCCTCTGGAAAGGTTAAGGAAACGTTCTACTTGCTCTTCCTTGCACATCCTGATGCCCTCCCCTCTCTTGGCCACCTCACTTCTCTCTCCCCACAACATCTGCTGGAGCTTTTGCTGATTGGAAGGCGTTAGATTACCTTCTTCTATGAACTGGAACTCTAGGTCTCTGCCTGTGTGTGTGATGTTGGGTCAGATGGTTTACAAAGCATGTGCCTTGAAAATTTGGCGAGTGCATTTCTTCCAGGTGACTTCTAGGTGACAAAGGATCTGTTTATTTCTCTGGCCCCCTGTAATCCTGCCAGAGGTGTGGTAAGGGTAAACTTGAAGAGGGCCATTGGGTTAAAATCATGGTTGTGTTGGGAAGGGCTTAAAGCGGGCAAAGAGAGTGGAAATTTCAACCAGCTGTACTCTTTTCTGCGTGCTTGAACGTGTTTGTGGAGCAATTGCTAAGGGAGGTTCAGTGGGCTGTTCGAGACAGTGTGGAGACTCCAAAGGTCAATCAGGTGCCCTTCATGCCTTGCAAGGATAGGTGAAGTAACGGATGCTCTCATGATCATAGTTGTGACATGATGAAATGCCAGATCTGGAAGGGACTTTTGAAATTACCTAGTTCAAGCCTCTCGTTTTTCAGATGAAAACACTGAGGCAGGGAGAATGGAAGTGACTTGTCCAAGGTCAAGTAGTTACTTAGTGACAAAAAAGTGTTACATGCCACAGGAGAAGTTTATTTAAAATGCATTGGCAGTTCAGAAACAGAAGTGATTACTTCCTGCCGAAATTAAATTCACTGGAAGCTTAAGATCTTTTAGGAATGTGCTCTCAATATCCTTTCCCAGTGACATCTTCATGTAGATTTATAAAGAGCCAATCATCCCTCTTTGGTTTATTTCCCTGAGTAGAGGTCATTGATCAGTAATTGTATAGGATATGTGTAATTATGTACTAAATTCATTGGCTTCACAAGCAGTTCTAGTTAATAGATATCTTCCAGTAGGAGGATTGAAATGGTACAGTTTTTAATCAGGAATGGCTCTGGGGAACCATGTGTAAATAGGCAGAGTATTTGATTTTCCTGTGCTAGCCTTGCTGGCGATTGCTTGTTACTCCTAGATATAAGAAAACAAATTGTAGCGGGGGAGACATTAACAACCCACTGTTTAATATAGTCCTACACCTTGTTCTTTGCCTGGAATACCTTCAAAAAGACCACCTGAACAATAACTATTGGTTACCATTTTTGTTTGGAAGGAAACATTTTCTGCAACCATGGTCTTTATACAAAAAACAATTCTTAAGAATTTTAACTAGTGTCAGGTATTGCAGATTCTTGATACTAATTTTTCAGGTTTCCCGTGAAGGGCACAGCTGGAGAAGGCAGAGAGGCCAAGCTGCGATTCCTGCTAAGGATGTGATAGTCTAGAAAGCAGAGACTTCACAACACTTTTCTTGGAACTCTAGGATTCTCGTTTATGTCTTTGACTCAGGAAAGGTTGAAGCCACTTAAGGATGGGAATTTGTTCCCATAATTCTTAAATCTTTGTTTTGAAATGAGTAGCTCTATATTTCTTAGCTCACATTTGAGACCATGAAAAGATAGAATGTAATTGCAGCTAGGAGTTTTGGAGCATTCATAATTTAAAAAAAATGCTATGATACTTAATGTTTTGCTTAGCCTCCCAGCATCCCTGTCTAAGGTCTCAAAGCGCATTTGACCTTGTTTGTTTGATTGTGTCATGCCACGTCCTGTTATTTCTGAAGTCACTTATATTGCTCAGTAAAACTTGTTTGGTCTTATAAATCACGTTTTTTTTTTTGTTTACCCCCATGCAGTTATTTCTTCGGTTAATAGTAAGCATCTGCTATTTGTCAGGCACTCTTCTAGATGCTGAACATACAACAATGAACAAAAATCTCTGCCCTCATGGAGCTGATGCTTTAGCAAGGAGGGACAGAAAATAAGCAAAGAAGACGACTGTGTAACAAGGGTGAGGCACAGGCTCACAGTTCTGAATAGGAAAGTCAAGCTTCCTTTAGAAGGTACCGTTTGAGCAAAGACTGGAAGCAGAGAGTGAAGGAAGGGTGAACAGTCTAGGGAGATGGGACCTGATGTTGGGATGTTTCAGGAAGAGCCAGTGTGGATGGAGTAGAAGGAGAGAAGAGGAAAAGTAACAGAAGTGAAGACAGAGAGGGAAGCCTAGGAGTGGGCCTGGGAAGGAGATAGGGCCTTGTGATACTGTCATACAAGGCGCCGGGCTTGGCCTTGGAGTGAGATGGGGAGTAGAAGAAGGGAGGCACTGGAAGCAGGAGAGCTGAAAGAGGCTGTTGCAGTAATCCAGCCTAGAGATGGTGGCCCAGATTAGACGAGGCAGAGATGATGGGAAATGTTCGTAGATGGTCCTGTGTCTTTTCACCAGAAAAGAGTGGGAGTGTTCAGTGCAGGTGAGAAAAGAAGACCAGCGGTCAAGAGGAGGCCAGGCCTACAAGAATGGCTGATTATTTTTCCCTTGTACAATAGCTTTATTGAGGTGTAATTTACATACAATATTTAAAGTTTACGGTTTCCTAAGTGTTAGCACACCTGTGAAACTGTCACAACAATCAAGATAGTGACCCAAGTTTCCTTGTGCCCTTGGTAATCTCTCTTTCC